AGGGGTCTTAGGGATCTTATGAGAAATTTCTGACATGAAACATCCTGTGTTTCCTTCCCTCTGCTCTGCCTGCAGGAAAATTCAGGTGATTTTTGTGCTCAGTGTATATTTGCTTCTCTATTAGCAGTAGTGGTAAGAGGATTTATTTTCAGATTTTTCTATGTATATTTTATTAATCTTATTTTAAATTGGCTATAAGCCACCACAAACGAGGTAGAGATTTCTTAGCTGGCTAGTAAGGGAGCAATGACCAGGACTCGTGTCAGCTGACTCCAGACTAGGAACCCTCACATGCCATGGAAATTACATAATGGTTCTCACAAGCACAAAAATGAAGCCAAACTTATTGCCTAGGTTCTATGTCATGGAGAAGGGCAAACATATCAGCCTTCTATTTCAAAGGAGAAAATATGAACACTTCCATGTCCTTATTTCTAAAGCAGGGATAATATCTATTTCTTGACATGGTTGTGAAGATTCAGATAGAATATTTGCAAAAGCATTCAGTATAGTATTTGATAAAAAGTATCAAAGTCTGAAATACTGACCCTTTAAGATGTAAATGCAGCTCTATTAATCAGAAGTAGTAAAACTAAAATGCATAACTCATAAACATCATTTAGAAATCACTTATTCCTCTGAACTCCATGCACTGATATAAAATTCTACTCCAGACAGAGCCAAGATCCACCCTTGCTGCCTTTCTTTCATGTCATAGGACACATGGACATCTGGGAAAGCTGTCAACAATCTCTAAATTCTTATTGTAAATATTTCTACCAAAAATACAGAAATCTAGCAAGAATACACACACATAAAGTTTTCAGGTTCATAAATCATACAATAGAGCACCCAGGAAACTGGGCCCAAACCATGGGTCTGTCTCCTTGTACAAATAGCAAGCTTCCCCATGTTTCACAGCCATTGACTGGATCCAAAAATGTCGCCAGATACACCGTTAAAATGTCCATTTGTCCTCAGGGGAGTCCAGGAAAGGGACCTGCAGATCCTCATTGCGTACCCTAATAAAAGATGTAAGCTTCCATCTGAGGTTATCTTTCACCTCAACAACTTCCTTTAGCATTTCCTGGGGTGTAGATTGACTGACAATGAATTTTCTTAGTTTTATCTGAAAATGTCTTTAATTTGCCTTCCTTTGCAAAAGGTATTTTCATTATACATAGATTTCTGGGTGTTTAACAGGTTTTTTAAAATCTGTCCTTTAAAAATTGTTTCACGTTTTCTGGCCTCTAGTTTCTGCTAAGAAGTCAATGCCTGTTTAAAGCTCTGCTCCCTGGGAGGTAATGTGCCATTTTTCTCTGGCTACTAGCAAGAAGTCCTCTTTGTCGGTAATGGCCAGGAATTTGAATACGATGTGCCTAAGCATGTTTTTCCTCAAATTTATTCTGTTTGAGGTTTGTTGAGTTTCTTGATCTATAAACTTACGTATTTCACCAAATTTGAGAAATTTTAGCCATTATTTCTTCAAATATTGTTTCTGTCCCATTCTCTTTCTCCTCTCCTTCTGAGACTCTATAATTACACATATGTTAATACATTTTTATTTTTATCATACAGGTCCCTGAGGCTCTGTTCATTTTTTTTTCTGTTTAATATTTTAAATCTTTTTTCTTTCCTTTCTTCAGAAAGGAAATTTCTATTGATCTGTCTCCAAGTTCACTGACACTTTCTTCTGTTACTTCTAACTGATGTTAAGTCCACTTGGTGAATTTTTATTTCAAATGTTGCATTTTTCAGTTCTAGAATTTCCATTTGGTTTTTCTGTGTGTGTGTTTTTATTTATTATGTTTTTATTCATTGTGAGTGCATTTTTCTGTCTTTCACTGAGTATGGTTATGATAGCTTCTTTAAAATCTTTGCTAATTCACACATTTGGGTGATCTTCACATTAGTCTCAGATGATTGCCTTTTTACTTCAGAAGGGGTTACATTTTCTTGGTTCTTCATATGTTGTGTAATTTTGGGTTGTATCATGTGAATGTGTAAATATGAATATTGTGGTGTGAAGCCTGTTAGCATTCTTTGAAGAGCATTGATTTATTTGTTTTAGCAGGCAATTAACTTGGTTACAAGCAAATTGAAAACGATCTCTTGGGTGGCAGCTCAAATCTCAGTTCAGTTCTTTTATCTTTAACTGTGCTAGCTTGTGTCTGCTCCATGCATATGTGGTTCACTCAAGGGTCAGTCAAAACTTTGGGCAGTGCTTATACACAGAATCGGGCGCTTCCCCTGTCTGCCTCTCTCTTTTCCAGGACTCGAGCTTTATTTTCCAGTGACTGTGGTTGCCCTGAACGCTGTTCTTTGAGTCTTCAAACCAAAAGACTATGTGCATTTTCTACTGGAGTTAGCCACCCCAAGTCATATTAACTTCAGCCTGCCTTTAGTCTGAAACTTGTGAAACGGGGAACTCACTCTACATGGGTTCCTGCTTTCAGGTTTTGAATTTCAATTCTGCTCTAGAATCTGCCTGCTTATATTTCCCCTCTAGTGCCTTCAGGTAATTTCCCGCCATATTTTATGCTGTTATCTATGAAAATGTCTGGTTCAGTAGAGCTTACTCAGTGGAAACAAGTAAAAACGTTTAGGAAACATTCCTTTGCATTTCCTAGCTCCTCTCCTCAAAATACTTAACCTCTACCCATAACCTCATCTAGTGATTTCTGGTTTGGGTTTTAAGTAGAAATATAAGTCAGACTCAGAGCTTCCCTGGTCATCTTGCCAAGTACACGAGAAGATTTGGGATGAAAGTACAGCATAAAGTTAAATCATAAAATGATACATCAGCCATCAGATCTGGCCCTTAGACTGGCAGCATTTAATCCCAAAGCCATGGAGTTTGTACAGGATCACGGCTACCAAAGATTATCTACGTGGTACTTTGTCATGTTATTTATTTTACCTTGTGTTTTTGGTCTCAGATATCTCTATATACTGCCTCACTGAAAACTATAGGTAATATCCTAAGAGACATAGGATATTGAAAATAATGTTTTTAAATACCAACACAGAGTTCATAAGTGCACATTTCCTTTTATTAATAATCCTCATGGCTACCATTTTTTGAGAGGATCTAATCATTTCACACAAATTGTCGTTTAATCCTCCATGACCATTCTACAAGGTAGTTCCTATAATTAGCCCCATTTTAAGAAGGATGAAACCAGAGTTCAGAGACGTTAAGTGAGTTCTTTGCGATCACACAGCAAATAGCAGAAATCCAAATCAGTCTTCTTAAAGATGACAAAGTGCAAAGAGTATGTATCTGGAGTCATAAAGCACATGCCCTTTACGTTAGGAGAGAAAACAAGAGTCTTTCTAAGCAAGGAGGAATAAATGAGGATCATAAAACTTGAAGTTATATTCTACAATTCCTCTTTCCACTAATTACTGATATTAAAATGCTCCTCTTTCAGATATATATCTTTATATTGACAGTTTGCCTGTTAAAAACACACGCCTTGCTTCAGGGCTTAAAAACACTAACCAGAACAATAACATAAGGATCAAATAATTCCATGCAAAGAGGCACACGCGTATAATACCAGTGCTCCATTTTACCTCATTTATCTACTGTCCTTAAACTTTCTCTGTTTTCCAGATAAACTCTCTAAATAGGAAGGTGATTCACCAGAGAGAAATTGGGCACAGAAGTGAAGTGAAGATGCCACCCAATACAACAGATGATCACTAAATCCTTGCTGAATAACTGAATGATTCGAGTGCCCACTCTGTACATGGCACTGTCTCGCCTAATGAAATTGTTCCATGAACGTTTATACATGACCTTCCATGTGCAATATACCACACTGACAGATATGGGGAATACAATTTTTTTAAAGAAAAAAAAAAGAAGTGAAGATGCCTGCCTCACCCCACCACAGTCTGCATTTGGTGAGTGCCTCTAGAACATGCAGCAATGTCTCACAGTATTTCAGGGGCAATCCTGCCAGGCTTTGTAAGCTTTGCATAAACCTGTGGGCTTCAAGTGGCTGGAATGAAACAGAAGGAAGGCAGGGTCAGCGACTAGTAGGCAGACAATGGAAAGTGGAAACAGGACACTGGGTATTGACCAGAAGTAAGAAAAGGAATACAGTATCTTTGTGTGCTGGCAAATGGGGCTATTCATGTTTGTATTTATCACATGTGCTACATTGTTTGCTGAGCCCTCAGAATGAGAAATATTGTTACTGGAGTAAAGACGAGAAGCGGTGATAGAAAAGGAGTATATACACATGCGATCTAGGGAGGGGTTAAGTGAATACAGTCCACTCACAACATGATGGGGAAATTTTACCCCATTAGCTCATTTCTCTCGCTTTATTGCTATTTTTTAAAATGCATACTCAAGTTACCCAGTTAAACCATCAGAAGACCTATGAAGACAGGTGATTATTTTGCCCCATCTTCAAGTCTTTTTATCAGATTTATCCTTCATTGGTCCTAACATATGCCACTAGGACTTACTCTGACCAATAACAATCCCAAGTCATTTTAAGATATGTTTTGTGTCAGAAATCATCCTCCTGCTGCTACCAATTTCACGTCAATTGCACGATCATTCTCAAAGCCATGCAAAGCATAATAACTTGACTTTGTAACTGCTTAACCTTACTTTTTGCACTTAAAAATTATTAAGTATGTGTAACTGTCTGGTGGGGGGAGAATAATATAATAGCATGTCAATCAGGTAACAGTTAAGCTACATTTCATGGAAAGGAAAGATAACCGTTTCTTCAAAAAGTGAAGTCATCACTCCTTTATTTAACTGCCATAATATTTACACCCCAATTTAAAAATGGCAGCTACAAATAGAAGTTGAGAGAGGGTAAATTCTCAAAGGGAATCAAGTCCTGAAATTTTGCGTTTTAAAAGTTCTATTTCATATGTACATAGGAATGTTGCTACTATTAGTGGGATGCTCATGGTAGGTCAGTTATAACAAACTCTATTTTAAAAAGTTAAAATGAAATCAACTCTACCTGTCCGATGATTGCTTCCTCAGTGGCAGGATGCACACAGCTCTTACACAGGGTCTAGGCAGGCAGGTGGTCCTGGGTACCTACACCATGAAAAAAGAATTTCCAATTATTTCGGCAGTGACCCAAATGGCTTCTAGGTACAACTTCATTAGGGACATTCACCACGAATACCAAGTTAGATGACTGTCTTAGTATTGTTAAGAGGACAAAATAAAGGTACACGTCTGATTTCTGTAGGGAGTATGCGTATCATCACTCTGCGCAAGAGAGGCTGTGTCTCAAGAGTGGCTTAAGAGACTCAGACAACATCACATAAAGGAAATGGCAGAATCGTGCCCTGACACTCCACCTTCTAATTTCTAGTCTCAGACTGTTCTGGCTACATTATCTGACACCCATGGAAGCTGACCCGTCCTGGCATTGGGGCTTTCTGTTCTGCAGAAAGATGAGGCCAACCCGCGAGTCTGGTAGGAGAGTGCTTCTCTGGCTCTGTGGTGGTCTGTGCCAAATCAGCTGGCTGTTTGGTGGTCACTTTAGTTTCTTTCCTTTGAAACCCTCATGTCCACAAGACTCTGAGGGAAACTGACAATGGAAGGAACATGGGTTTCTGGTCCAACTGGACTGAGTTTGAATCCTAGTAATGCATTTACTATCACTGTGTCTTATAGAGCTGCTCAACTTCATTGAGCCTCACTTTCCACCTCTGTCAAATGGGTATAATAATATCTGAGGGGTATCTATCAACAGGGTGTGTTTTTTTTTTTAATGAGGATAAGGCACCAAGCACAGTCCTGGCACATGTTAGGTGCTCAGGCAAAGTGAGAGTCCTGTGTCCCACCTTAGTTCCAGGGATAACTCCGAGGCAGGGAAGTGACAAGGAGGCCAGAGAGACCTCACTGCTCACTCAAAGACAACATTCCAATCCTCCAGCTGGTGGGCTCCTCTCTGCTGTGACCGCTATCTCTGCTTTTCCTTCACTTGAACTTCATTTCCTAGGATTTTGTTTAAAGGGAGGGAGGGAGGGAGGAAGGAAGGAAGGAAAGGAGTGAGGAAGTCCATCACCAGTTCCTGACTGCACTTAAACTGGTCACAAATGGTTGGGTTTTTTTAAGGATGAAACTGAAAACTATGTTTTAATAATCAGTGAGGCTGATGGTCATTCCTGCCAGGTTGGCTCAGCTGGGAGGGCTGAATGAAGTTCAGCCAGCAGAGGGAACCACCTGTGACTTGGAACACTGAGCCCTCGGCCAGGAGAAAACGAGAGCACCAATAGCTCACATCATCTTCAGCACATACCAGGGCCTCTGGAACCACAGGGAAGAGGAAACACACATTTATAGACAAAGTAAACTGAGAGCGTGCCATGGACATTTTTTCAACTTTTCTAAAAGGTTCATTGTAATTTTCTAGAATCAAAGGAACAATATGTTTGATTAGTTCTTCAGCCGACTTATCAATTTTGCTTTTCATATTTCTCTCCTTGAAGTTTGCCATTAACCTTATATGTTCTAAGGCTTGAGATTAGATTTTTTTCCCCTCCAAAATTAATTTTTTGCTTTTAAAAAAGTTAGCTTTATGATAATTAATTTTTGCCGCTAATAACCAAAAGATCCTCTTTGAGACAAGGAGGTCATTCTTTAAAGAGGTTAGAAGCCTAAAGAATGTTCCTTCTCTTCCTGGAGGGAGAATGTGTGGAGGAAAAATGCTTGCAGGAAAGGTCAGTAATCATAAAGTGAAAGCCCAAAAGATGCTTCCTCCAGGGTCAATACTGTGTGTTTAAAACTGCCTTATATGTATAATTACTCAAGAGACCTTACAGCCTTGAAGAAGCAGTTAGCCAAACCCATAAAGAAAAATATGGGAAACCCCTTATCTTTACATGGCTCAGCTAGGAGGCAGAAGGCACCAATTCAATGCTGGATCTGCCAATTGCTTTGCCCCATCACAGCCCTAATATTTAAATATAATCCCTTTGTGTGTATCATCTTCCAGATGGGGTTTGACTTGGTTTCTATCAATAAAACAAACAAAGTAGAAAGGGAATGTTATGAATAAGTTACCAATGTAAATGTGCTATTTTATGCCTTTGAATTTGGGTGATGATAAACATGATTCCACACATGGAAATTAGACTTTTCAGAGCTACTACACTGAATCATTTAATTTGTTTGAGTAAGTACTCATAATAATATGGCTGCTCTGCACGGCAATGAACATTGGATTTTCAAATGAACAAGTGAAGTCTGTGATCACTCCTTGTAAATGGAACTGCAGTGAAGGGCATTCAGCAAAGGACTGTGCACCAAGAAAGATGCATGAGAAAAACAAGCCACCCCAATGCCCTGAAAATGAAAACAAATCATCATACAGCCTCTGGTTCCACACTTCCTGCTCCTGGCTGGAAACACGGCTGATGCCTTACAATGAAATGACAGGGGACTATAGCTATTTTGCATTGTCAAAAGGTAACTTGTCACACTATTCAGGGCACTATCTTTTCATTCCTCTGGATCATAAATTGAGGATGCTTTAGCAAAATAGCATAAGGAGACCATTTTGCATAATGGTTAAAAATGCGCATTTGAATCCTGGGCTCTACCAACCAAATAAGCGTATGACTTTATCCAAATCATCAATCTTCTTCATGTGCATTTTCCTCATTGGGAAAAAGGGGATAATAACGTTGCCTTCCTCACAAAGTTATGAGAGGGACAATTTATGTAAAGACCTAGAACATAGTTAGAATTCAAGAATAGTTACCATCACTTCTTTTTTTATCATTATCATTGTCATCATCATTATTATTATGTTTAACAGTATCCTCATTTTCATCCATTATCCTCATTTTCATCCATTATCCTCATTTTCACAGTAAAGGAAACCAACAAAATGAAAAGACAGCCTACTGAATGGCAGAAAATAATTGCAAATCATATATCTGATAAGGGGCTAATATACAAAATATACAAAGAACTCATACAACTCAATAGCAATACAACAACAACTGCTACAATCTGTTTAAAGAATGGGCAGAGGACCTCAACAGACATTTCTCTAAGGAAGACATACAGCTGGGCAGTAGACATATGAAAAGATGTTCAACAGTCACTAGTCATCAGGGAAATGCAAGTCAAAACCTCACACCTGTCAGGATGGGTATTGTCAAAAAGTCTACAAGTAACAAGCGTCTATAAGGATAGGGAGAAAAGGGAACCCTCGAGCACTGTTGGTGGGATTGTAAATTGGTGCAGACACTGTGGAGAACAGTATGGAGGTTCCTCAAAAAATTAATACTAGAACTACCATAAGATCCAACAATTCCACTTCTGGGTATCTATCCAAAGGAAATAAAAGCATTAATTTGAAAAGATATATGCACTCCTATGTTCATTACAGCATTATTTACAGTAACCAAGATACGGAATCAACCTAGATGCCCATTATTAGATGAATGGATAAAGAAGACGTGATACACACACACACACACACACACACACACACACACAGAAATATTATTCAGCCATAAAAAGAATGAAATCTTGCCATTTTCAACAATGTGAATGGACCTCGAGGGCATTATGCTAAGTGAAATAAGTCAGAGAAAGACAAATGCTGTATAATTCCTGTCATATGTGGAACGTAAAAAAACAAAAGCAAGCTCGTAGATACGGAGAACAGATTGGTGGGTGCAAGAGGTGAGGGGATAAGAGAAAATAGGTGAACATTTTTGTAGTTAAAAAAAATGTTTTTTAAAGCACAACTCACCATATTGTTTGGTAATTAATTACTTTCATTCACTTAAAAGTATTTATTGAGTATCTAATAAGAGCCAGGCACTACGCTAGGGGCTGGGGTACTAAAGTGATCAAAATCAAACACGACCTCTGCCTCCCAGAAGTGATTAAAGGAGATGGACACGACCCCACGGGGAGTGTACCTTTTCCATCTGAGGGAAGAGTTCTAAAGGGGAAGGAGTAGATCATTCTAGAAGACACTAAAACAAAGGAACTTGAATTAAACTGGAGACCTGCAGGGTGAGGAGGTGGTAAACAAGGAGTAGAAAGATGGTTTTCCTAAAGGGAGAGAACACAATATTCAAAGGCATGGAGTATACAGTATGTCTTCATTGTTGCTAAAAGTCAGTGCAAAATTGTCCATTGAATAGTTCAATTTAATTGAATAATTACATACCAAATACCTGCTATGATTCAGGCACTGTGCTGAGCCCTAGGACACAACAGTAAGCAACACTGGCCCTTGCCCTCACTCTTACCTCCCAGTACCTATTCCTCTGTTTGAAAAATGCACTGAAGTCAATACTGCGTTTGTAACCAATAAATTCCACCTTTAGTTTTTATCCTGAAGAAATTCCACCTGCATGGAAAAATTGTAATGCTTTCTGTGCCAAGACAAGGAATGTTACATAAACCAAATATTTCCCTTTCTGCCTTGGGGCCAGCAAACCAACAACTATTTAGTGCATTCTATGGGCCTACCAACTCACACTAGTAAAGATGGCCACACTTCTGTTGTATGGTTAATTGTCCTATTACTTGCATACTACCTTTAAATTAGTAAACAGCCTCAAATTCTTGGGGGGAGTTAGAAGAGGAGAAGGACGGGAAAGGAAAAGAGGAACAGGAGGGCAAGTTTCTTGAGGTCTGGAAATTGTCCAATGTGCTTTTGCAGTTTTCATGGTAGCAAACGTCAGGCTGAATGAAAAGCAGTTTATAACTTCTGATTGGTGAATGGATAACTGAAGAATACAAAGTTTTCCTGGATCAACTTGGGTTCAATGATGGGGGAGAAAATGTGAAACTTCTTACATCTCTCTAATCTCCATTTAAGAGTGAAAGCTCCGCAAAAGTAGCTGAAAAGTTTAGCATGATTGTCACTACAAAGCAGCTCAATAACCAAACAGAAGAAACAGGGAGACCACAAGAAGAGAGTGCTAGGAGAACTTTAAGGTATCATTAGAGATTTGTTTCAAGGAACGAGGTCCTTATAACAGAACATTTCTCTTTCTTACTCTGGTGCTAGCCAAAACAAGAGAAATGTCATCGTTTTAACTGACGTCTAG